TGTAAAAATAACCAGTTTTTACTTCCAGAAACAAATTCATGAATATTTATTCTACCTCACGTGTTTCCGAAGCTATGAACTGATAACTATAATACATCTGATTTAATTTATCGTCCTATAACGCGAAACGGAAGATAACAGACGCGTGCACATTCACAACGAATGTTACAACTGTAAATCCAGATTACCTGAGTTACGCTTGATATAGAGGTCAAGCCTTGCAAATAGATGTTGCAATCTTAAACAAATGAATACAGATATTAGAATTTGCAATCCTGAAAACCTGTACCACTGTTAGCAAATGATGCTAAGATGATTCTCATTGTATTGATTTCTTAGAACCAACCTTCATGTCAATGACATTAAGAGATATCATTGATGAATCTCATTGATGTATTGCTTAACCACATAGGTATGTGTCAAGTATATGATTTCAGAGCAGAAAACGACCTGGGTGGGGTATGGAGAGTGGTGCAACAGACATGCAGTTTGCTTCGAACATTTGGAGCCGGACAAATTTCTTGTCCCAATTGCAAACGTCCTTTAGCAACGAATTCATTCAAATGCTGTTCAGTGCAACCAGCTGCTAAAAGGGTAGCAATTCTATGAGATGCATAAAATAGGCCAGTATTGAATTCTTTATGTGGTCATCCCACGGTATATCTACATTATGCTGTCTAAAGGGTGCGCCTGAAAACTGCAATTCACAGTGGCCCACCTTACAGCTATTAATCATCAATAAAATAAACTTACAATTTAAGTTCAAGACTGACAATAAATTACAATATAACCAAGTAGCACAAAACAGAATGGCACGAAAATTTTCAGGCAATAATGTTACTCGTTAATAACGTTTACGGCAACTTCTAAGCCAGAAGCCGAAATTTGGGAACAAACAGAAAGATAGTGTCTTGCCATAGGTTAGTGTTCTTATGAAAAGATGAAAAATTTAAATTTAACTCACATTTATTGAACCTGCAAAATTAGTGCCCTCTGGGTGGAGCGGAGGAAAAACCGGAGCATGCCTTACAGAGACATAACCTGGAACCCAATTTGGCCCGGAGTTAAGGCCAAAAGTCTGACGCCTGACAGACATAAGACAGTAACGAAAGCGATGGGAAAAATATCGAAAAAATGGATAGCACGAATAAAAATATCTCCCAATTCATTCTATGAAGCTCGGGTTAGACTGCGGCGGCCTACATGCATGATTCACGGATGACAGATGGACTTCGTCAGAAATGGGTTGGTGTCCAAACGGCGGCAAGCGTTCAATTGGAAGACCACACCGCAGGTAGGGCGATGAACTAAACGAGATATCCAAACATGTGATGACAAAATGCACGAGAAAAACGAACGTCGGTGTCGACATTAGACGGTGGTGATCCAAGATAATTACAAAGCAGGATCAGCAAATTCCTGTCGTCGCAGAATATGTTGGAAACATCGATCGTAGCATTCGTTTTATCGTAATCATAGAGATGCATGCATCATAAATTGGCAATGACTGGCAGATTTCACGTCCCGAAACGTGTCTCTATGTCAAGCTCGATTTTTCAGTTGCGTTTTACATAACGCTTGTTGTACAGTCATGAAACTACCATGCTACCAGTATCAAAACAGTATTATAATCATGTTATATTCTAAGGTTAAGCATGCTGTAGTGCAAAACTCGTGGTAGACAACAAACTCTGTAAGACTTAAACAGTGCATAGGTTGACATTCACTTTTTAAGTTAATCGACAAAGATAAAATTTTCAGAATAAAACACTAAATGACAAAAACAAATATTAGTACATTACGCTTGCTAATAGACGGTTCACTGATGGCATACAGCATATTAACTCAGAGATACCGCGGCAGTGCTCGATTCGAGATTTTACAAGTCTCTGTCCCCGAAACCTTAACAAGCAGTGGTACGACGCTTCCTATGATCCATTTTATTCATCGAATCTTTCCTAGTCTGTCTATCATAATTTGAGATATCTCTAAAGTTTTACAAGGGAAAAAAATTTACTGCAATTCCGCAACTGAAAATGCGTTCAAACCTTTCCAAGAAATACATATTATTTTTCCGAAACATGGTAAAAGTTCACTATTAACTCGTAGAAATGCATTACTTATAAGGAAATTTGCTTTATAAAATAAAGTTTAACTTGAGAAAAGAAACAGAAAGTTTCCACTTACTCAATATACATAATTATTTAACAACTTTAAAGCACACTAAAGCATGACGAGGCACCGAGAAAATTGAGTAAATACAAGTTAAAGCAGTGTGAAAGGTGGATTTACGTTGAAATCATGAAGACAGGCGACGGACGACCACGTTGGATCCTGGTCTGGGAAAAGGTACTTAAACAGCAGTTTATGGCTTTCGCAAATCAGCATGAATAGTCCAATAGATTTGAGCACAGCAGCGGACACCGGGTACCGGTCTAAACGATAGTCAGATACACACCGTTAAAAGAGTGAAAAAGCGGTGGTGACGAAATACCTTTCAATATTCCGCAGGTGAGCAACACCGAACTCGACGCCGGAACCCCGAGACACGTGTTATCCGGAAGCGGAATCAGATGACATGGCTGTGGATAAACACAGGTCTCCTTAAAGGTGATGACTGGGTCTTCGCATGCCGGCGATCCAACATAATTTCCCCACTGCAAGCCACTGACCGATAAAACTGGGAACTGAATTGTAAAATAATTCATTAATTAATATTCTGCAAATTACAAAACAACGAATAAAATAGATAACCGATCAATCTTACAGCCGCAGAAAATTTAAGCGCAACTATAACTGACCTGCACAGTTGAACGAAAGTCTT